TGTTTAGCAGGAGGAACACTTATTTGTTGTCTTTTGATTTCGAGGATTTTGTTTATTGTTATTTCGTGAATGAATATTGATGGTTTAAGATCAATTGTTAGTAGGAAGTTGTTTAATATGTAAGACTGAGATTTTTTTATGGTATACACATGAGCACTTTATATATATATTTTTTGAAAAAATGATCGTCTAAAGGCAAAAACAAAGTGCAATGACTTTTTCCCTACTCACCAATGATATATTGTTTCGATCCCTTGTCTGCTCTTCTTAGAAGGAAATATGATATTTCAAAACTACCATCGGAGCATTAGAGTCTTAAACTATGTTTGCAGTGCCACCAGGGCCGGTCCGTTGGTTTTCTATACCTAGGGCGAGAGTCTTCAAGTACTGCCGAGTCTATCACTTCATCATCGATATTAGGGAAACGCCAAAACCCGGATTTTATGCTCTTATATGTCATTTGACATTTTCAAGTTAACTTATAAGCTATTTTTTATAAATATTATTTTTTTATCAACTAACTTATAACTACCAATTAAATTTTCAGCTACTAGCTAATTTTTTTAGTTATTCTATCAAATATAATTTTAAACACCTAAATTCTAAAATAGGACCAATCTTAAAAAGTTAAATATTCTCAAAGACACAGGATAAACAAGAAAAAAATGATCATTATCTTTTTAAACAAAAATATATAATGAAAAAAATTATGCCATGTGCACTTGTTCACTTTGCCTCCCTCAACTCCCCCATGTTCCAAAGGTCCCTAATACTGTCTTTATATTGATCAGCCATTTTTATGAAATTTTAGTTTATTTTAAAATAAAAAATATTTAATTTTTTTGTAAATTTGTAATAACTAATGTAATAACTAATAAGTAACAGAAATTGAAATACTCAAACTATATATGATTATACGTAAAAAAGAAAGATAAATAGATAATATCTATTAATAAAATATTAACTTGAGATAGATTTATTAATAATTATAATTATAATTATAATATTTTTAATTTAGTAAGGGAGAAAAGTCCAAAAATATAGACAGTTAAAAAGTAAGCAAAGATTAAATCGTCTGTGAATTTAGTTCCACTTAATTTCTTACCAGTTTATACACAAGGTCACAAGGTAACCCAAGAATCTAGAAGCGACATCCCACATCGCCGCCGAAGTGCAAATAAATCGGCGATATTTGAGAGTCAGAGAGATTGATAAGCACGACCTTACTTGAACAGGATCTGTTATATAGGCTCGTACCTCTGTATTCTTGATTGTACCTCTGTATTCTTGATTCCTAAGAAGACAGAAACCCATGTCGTGGTTGATGAACCACGACCATGTTGCCAGCGCGTTGCCAATCCATGGTCTCGGCTATGGCTCAGTAGATGATCGTTGCCAATCCATCTTGATGGATCCTGGCATGGCTACATGGTTGTCTGACAGACAACTAAATCTTTTTTGGTGCCTGTGTAAATGCAATGCATAGCAAGTGTTCGATCAAATGCTGAGCTTTTTGGTATGATTTTTACATTGCTAATAAATAATGATTTGAGCACCTAAAAAATGTAGTACTTAATCAAGTGTGTAGAAAGGCTACCATGATAACTTCTTGGCAAACTCTGTCAAAGGGTTCCTTTCATTGACTTTCAACCTCTTTGTACATGTATTTTGGCGAATCTTTGAAATCCCATGACCAACATGAAATCTTATAACAAACACCCAAGGAAATCGCATGTCTCATAAGTAAACAAACACAGGATATTTTAATCAAATAAAGAATGTCATAATCTGTTTGCTTAAGGAATAGAAAATATGACAGATTTTTATGAACTTTCTGTATACTTGAAGAACAGAAATGATTTGTAAGGAAAGTAATGCTTTAAATAAGCACCCCAACTTTTCAATATATGCCAACTCTTCTGGATTGAAGCTTGGAAGTTTGTGATCTTTGTGGGTGTTGATAATAAAATTTTGAATTCTGTAGAGAATGGATCTATACTCTATAGTCTTATTTTATGACTTATGGAAAAACATTTTACGGTTTTGGATGTTTCTGCTTTGTATGGTTATGTATTTCCTGGCGACTTAGTTACCATGTTAGATGGGAAGCAAATTTGTACCACTAAAGAGTAGAGATTGGATGGAAATTTCTTATTTTTATACAAGAGAAAATCTAAAACCAATAAAGGACATTTTTCCCCGAATTTAGCGATTGCAAGGAGGAAGAATGTTGAAATTGTGGACAACAAATTCACATGTCCAAACGACCTCACTTTATTTACCACCATTTCATGTAATTCAAAGACAATAAATGAAACCAATCAACAAGTAGGGGTGGCAAATCGTGCTATCGTTTCGTGTTTCTGTCTGACACGACACGACACGGCATGATTTATGTAACACGACACGACACGATGTCGTGTTTTTTTTAACTAACAACAAAACGAATGAATTAAAAAACAACAAACGCGACACGACACGAAAAATATATCATATACTAAAAACTAGTTTATTTAATGAATACTTTATCAAATATAACACGAAAAACACGATAAAGAACTGCTAAATCGTGTCAATTTCGTGTCGAATTTTGAACACGACACGACATCGTGTTTTTTACAGTTAACACGAACACGAATTCAAATTTCAGTTTCGTCCCAATTTCATTTTGTGCCGTGTATTTTTGTCGTGTCGTGTCATAAATTGTCACCCCTAGACAAAAGAGCATATCAAAATGTGGTGATGGGTGGGGCAATTTGGTAAAAGATGATGGTAATTGTTTATGTACGGATGATGAGTCGTGCTCGAGTCCAATTCATATGCCAGGTGTCACATGGGTTGATGAGGTTTTTACCTTGCAAGTGGATAATTTTTTTCGTTGGACTTCTCATACATATTATTAAGGGTGACAAAATCAAACAGTTTTGCCGTGTTTTTTTTCCTAACACAACAATTTTTATATAACACAAACACGGCAACACGATATGATGTCGTGTTTTGTTAACTAATTTGAAAACGAATCAATTAAAACAAGATTAAAATGACAAACACAAAAAAGATACATACAATAAACTTTAAGTTCATTTAATTCAAAATTAATCTAACAAAACACGATAAACACAAAAACATGAGAAACACATGTTACTATCTTGTTAATTTCGTGTAGAATCTTCAACACGATATGAGGTCATGTTTTTTACATTTGACATAAAAATGACATGAACATGAACTCAAACTCCAATTCCATCTCTTGTCGTTTGGAGCTATGAATTGCCACCATTATATTTATACAAAATTGTAGTTTACTTTAAAATTAAAAAGGTGTTTGATTTTTTTATAATCTTAAAAACAATAAAATTGGTATAAATATTTTTTCTAATAAAAGATTGGGTTAAAGTTGGTTGGTAATAAGTAACAAAAATTGAAATAATCAAACTATATATGATTATATGTAAAAGCGAAAGATAAATAGATTAAATCTTTTACCTGTCCCTTTACAGTTACTCAATGAGACCCAAGAATCTATAGTTGACATCCCACATCGCCTCCCAAGTGCAAATAAATCGGCTATATTTGAGGGTTTGAGAGAACAACAAGCACGACCTTAATTACTTGAACATGATGTGTACTATAGGCTCGAACCTCTTGATTCCTAAGAAGACAGAAACCATGTCCATGTAACCAGAGCTCTGATTAACAGAGAGCTTCATGGTCTCTGCTATGGCTCAGTAGATGATCGTTGCCAACTCATCTGATGGGTCTTGGCATGGCTGCATTATTTTCTGACTGACAACTATATATCTTTTTGGTGCCTGTGTAATAATGCAAAGCAAGTGTTCGATTAAATGCGTCAAGAAGATTATGAGAGTTTTATTTTATGGTATGATTTTTGCATGGTTACATGGATGTATTACTGTCGACTGAATCTTTTTTGTGCTTTCATTTTTGTGTTGTTCTTGCTTATTAATGTTATGTGGCCAGTTTATATATGCAAATCAAGTGTTCAATGAAATGCGTAAAGAGATTATGATCATATAGAGCTTTCTGGTATGTAATTTTTTTATGCAACAAGATAAGAAAGATAATAATGCATGCTACTATGACTTGTACTCATTCATTAATGATTGTAGTCTTGTACATTGCACATGATTTGAGCAACATTTTTCTATCAGTAGTATGGTCTGGGGGACCTTGAACCCTTGTCGATGTCCATTTCTCCCTTCTCACATTTGTATTATAATCACCCAAAAAATGAAATACTTAATAAAGTGGGAAGGAAAACTTCTTAGCAAACACTTTGAAAGGGTTCTATTGACTTTGAACCTCTTTTTACATGTGTTTTTGGGTGTCTTTTTTGCTTAACACACATCATTGAAACGCTATGACCAAACATGAAGTCTTGAAACAAGTACCCAAGGACATAAACAATGACATAATCTGCTTGCTTATGGAATAAAAAATACAACAATTTTTATGAACTTCTTGTATAATTGAAGAACAAAAATGATTTGTAAGGAAATAAATTATTTACATGGTGAACAAAATTTTGAAATATTCTTTAGAGAATTGATCTTATCATTAATACCCTCATACCGTATAGCTTTAGGATATCCTATAGAGCCATTTTCAACACCAACGTCAAAACATGTTTTTTATATGGGTTTTAGTACAATTTTATTTTTTTATTTTTTTATTTTTTTTATTTTTATCCAACACATAATGATCAAAAACATTACGTTGAAAAACTTTTGTTTTAAATGGTTTAATTACAAATGAACAAATATTATTTATTTTAATATCTTTAATAATAAATTAGTTTACATATTTGCATTATATATTATTAATTATCAATTATAATACGCAATGCAAATTAAAAGTTTTGTAACGCAAAACAACAAAAGCACGTAACACGTAAGTGATTCAGTCCACACATATTTGCATGTACCAATATAAGATAATAAATAACATCGATCTAAATTCCAGAGTATGTATTACAATTGATGAAGTTTCCGACAGTCGCCGGAGAAGAACCCCAAGTTCAAGAAATGAGGCGAGCAGAGGTAGCGATCATCGCAACACCGTCCATGGGCAACCTTATACCGGCCGTGGAGTTTGCAACCCACCTCATCAACCACCATCGCAGTCGTATCTCCGTCGTAATTCTCGCCATCTCCATGCCGCAACGGCCAATCCTCGACGACTACATCCAATCACGCATCTCCAACCAACAAATCCGATTCATCCAGCTCCACCATGTTGACTCGCCGCCGCCAGATCAGTACAGCTCCGGCATCGAGTTTATTTCTCTTTATATAGAAAATCACAAACCCATAATCAAACAAACTCTCAAACCACCTCCGAACTACTGTTTCCGACTTGGAACCTGTGCCACTTGTCGGATTGTTCGTCGATATGTTTTGCACTTCCATGATTGACGTCGCCAACGATCTCAACATTCCGTGTTACCTTTTCTTCGCGTCTCCGGCGGCGTATCTTGGCTTTATGCTCCACCTCACAACCTTGCCTGCCACCGAGTCTTTCGCCACCGAGTTAACAGTACCTAGTTACGCCAATGCGATTCCGTCGAACATCCTTCCATCGTTCTGTATCAAAAAAGACGAATTTGGTTACTCGACGTTTGTACGTCACACCCTTAGATACAAAGAGACCAAGGGTATTATTGTAAATACGTTCCAGGAGCTCGAACCCTACGCGCTTGACTCTTTGTCTTCCAGCTACCTGGATTTGCCACCAATATACCCGGTTGGACCGATTATCGATCACGTTGGACCGGCTAAGTGGCATTCAAACCGGTCTGGGCATGAAAAGACCATCGAATGGCTCGACCGGCAGCCTGAATCATCAGTTGTTTTCCTGTGTTTTGGTAGCATGGGGTGTTTAACCCCGGTTCAGGTGAGAGAAATAGCTAATGGTTTGGAGCGAGCCGGGTACCGGTTCTTATGGGCATTACGTGAACCGGCGAAAGCGAAGCTAAAGCTTCCAAACGATTATGAACATCTTGACGAGTCTTTGTTTCCAGATGGGTTCATTGATCGAACTGCTGAGATAGGATTGGTGTGTGGGTGGGTCCCACAGGTGAGTGTGCTGGCACACAAATCGATTGGTGGGTTTGTGTCCCATTGTGGCTGGAACTCGATCTTGGAAGGTATATGGTATGGTGTACCGATTGCCACGTGGCCTTTATATGGAGAGCAACAGTTGAATGCTTTTGAAATGGTACGAGAGCTGGGATTGGGTGTTGAGATAAGGTTGGATAGTAGAGATAAGGGTGGTGATCTGGTGTTGGCGGAGGATGTGGAGCGAGGTGTGAGGGAGTTGATGGACGGTGGTGATGGTGAGTTGAGGAAAAAGGTCAAGGAAATGAGTGAGAAGAGCAATAAAGCTTTGATAGAAAACGGTTCCTCTTTTAAAGCTCTTGGGGGTTTGATTGATGTTCTTCTATCTAACATATAAAATATCCCATTTGGTATGTGTTCAAGGTTAATTTATTTGTCAAATCTATTATGTTGTAATAACATAATATATTGGCGTGTAAGCTATAACAAAATCAATTTTATGAGTAGATTCTATTTGGTATTATTTAAATACAATTGTATTAAGAGAAAATGTTGATGCATTTGAGTCTGACAACATTCTATGTATTACATGTGAAATTGTATGCTCGATTGAGAATGATTCAGTAAGTTGTAACAGGTCGAATTGATTAGAGATGATCTTGAAAAAAAAAAAAAAAAGACTAATACTCAATAAAGGTCAAGCCCTGTGTCTTGAGGAGGCCATGCCTTAAAGGAGCTCAGACTTAAATTGGCAGACCTCTCCAAGACATTTGCTTGCCATGTAGCTCCTTGTATTTTATAGCCACCTTCACCTTTCCCAGTTTCTTACACCAATCGATATGGGATGGACCAAAGCACCTAAAAAAAATTATTCACCTCACTTTCTGGCGTGAGGGAGAGAGAGGGTAGGGTTTAGAGTGTTTTTCTTGTGTGTGTTCCAAATGACTCAATTAACACATTAAGTACTATTAACTAGATGGATTTTGCAAATAGGCTCATAGCTCATGGACTTCAATAAAAAGAGTTTACAAGATGATCAAAAGAGTCTAATAACATAAGAAAATCAGACCTTGGTTAAATAAATTAACCCAAGGTTACAAGGATAATAACTAAACGTACTGAGAAAATATGGGGCGTTACAACTCTCCCCCACTAAGAACGGACTTCGTCGTCGAAGTCAACGCCTAAAAACAGATCCGGATAATGAGCCCTCATCTCGCCTTCCGGTTCCCAAGTCCATTCCGAACCCTTCCTATGTTGCCACTGTACCTTAACCAGGTTTATAGTCTTGTTGCGGAGAGCTTTCGTCTTTCGTTCTAAAATAGCGATTGGTTTCTCAACATAATTGAGACGCTCGTCAATCTGTATGTCCTCCAGTGGTATTACAGCGGTCTCATCAACAACGCATTTTCGTAACTGAGACACGTGAAACGTATTGTGAATTAGACTAAGCTCGTCAGACAGCTCTAAACGGTAAGCCACCTTTCCAACACGGGCTATGACCTTGTAGGGTCCAATATATTAGTAACTAACAATTTAATTATCATTTTTTAATTAAATTTAACAAAGTCATTTTACAAGATTTTTGAATTATTTTTTTCACTTGTCATTTTTCTTGTGTTTTTCGTTTTCTTAAATTTAAAATCCACATTTTACTAAAAGTTTATATATGTAAGGTATATAATTATATTAAATTTTTGAATAAATGTTCCATAGTTGTTTATTTCCTTTGTGTTTCAAATCTTTTAGAATTAAAGCTTAAATCATTGATATCATGCATAGACATCCAATTGATTCTGTCATTCTAACTTTGTATTAAACTTTTATTTTTAATAAATTCGTGTAGTACATAGGTTTCACATCTAGTTTATATCATATATAACTTGAGATGATTTTTGTTAATTTGTCAAAAAGAAATGTTTTTCTAGGCCGCATGGTACGCCTAATGGTTCTTTATTTAAGAACAACATCCTTTGGGAAGCCTTTGTTTCTGACGTGTGGTTCAATTAGGAGACGCTCTTCGGTTGGTTGTTGTTATATATTATATTTGGTCGTTTAATGGCAACCATTGATTTTCCACATGTCATTGAAACTGATATTCCTAGTGTGTATAAATAAATTATCTTGTAATTGTAATAGGAATATGGTTGCCGTTTATGTTACATTCATTAATGAATTTTTAGGTGTTGGGTGTAAATAAGATAACTTAGGTGTGAAGAAATGCCCATGAAAAAAGTTGTCATGCCCCGCCAGTGAAATATGTGGAAAATATGTTGAGTTGGTGTCGAATAGTTGATGTATGTTTTTCTTTTATGTTATAAATGTTATAGGTTATTAAAGGAGATTTAGTTGTTTTTTGCAGTTCGATTCCGTATGTGTTTTTTGTAGACACTTGTGTGAACGTAGCATGGGACCGATTTTTCTTGATTTAATCTCAAAGAAGGATAATAATTAGTATGTGTTTCGTTAGACTTTTTCTAAAATTTATTAATTGGTTATGTAAAAAAATTAAAGGTAATACATTAATAGGTTTGTTTATAGTGTATAATTAATGGTATATTACCTTATTATAATAATGTAGATGTTATCTATGGTTACATTTTCATATATGTATGATTTTTTTTAAAGTCTACATGTATTAAAAGGCTTGGAAAAAGTTAGCAAGATGAAAATAGGTAGTTCATCAAGGATTTTGCATCCACTCATTCCATTTTTTTTCTAGCTTTATGATTGCTATTACAAAACCAATTTAATGAAACAGAGACAACTAAATCAAACACGAGCTCTTTCTTCTACTTGACGTTGCCAAAAACAAACGCGTTCTGATACGTCCACAAAACTCATATCAAAGTAACACAAATTGTCTCCATGATCAGCCTACAGAACCGAGCTGTCCATTGACCATCAATGTAACAACCCAACTTTTCTCAATAAATATTCTAGGGATTATTAGAGTTTTCTATAAAAATGTGAAATTTTAAATCTCAAAAACACTTCAAATCCCAAGTTATAATCGGGTTTACAATAGATCCTAACCATAATTTAAAGCAACAAGGAAATATCAAGTATAAAAAATAATTCTAGTCCAAGTCCTTATGCTCCTATCTCCTACATACAACTGCTACTACTTGAACCTGCAAAACATGAAAATCTACAACATCATACCACAGGTTTAGTGAGTTACACCATACTCTATTTTCACGAAATCATACTCTACTTTCAAACATTTTTAGGCCTGATAAGTGTCACACCCCGGCCGCCGGCGGAAACGCCGAGGTGTGCGACGTAAATCAGTAATCACAGTTATTGAACATACATTGAAAAATACAAATATAATCTTCTATTATTACCGAAATAGAAATTATATTGACAATGACTATTGATAAATCATTACACACACCTAACAAATCGACTTTACAATGATAGAGTAAAAATAACGGAGAGTCTTCTGAGCGAACATTTCCGACCTGCTAAATAACCTTAGAATGCATGCATTAAAATTCGTCAACAAAATTGTTGGTAAGCTCCACAAGTTTTGACACAAAGTATTTTTATAACAAAAAGTGTTTTATAAAATTTATCTGGTTGACCAGCTTTTATAAATACGCACTTTTTCTATCAAAAGTATAAAATAATTGAGTTATAAAAATATATTTGGGCTCATTCATAAATATCATTTGTTCAAATCCAAAAGTACAAAAATTGGAAAAATACACATAAGTAATTCAAACTTATATCAAAATTATACGGTTCCCATGACCAAAATATTTTTATATAAGGATTTTGAGTGTCAATTTATATAAAATAAAGTCATATCGCATCTTGTGAAAAACATAAAATAACTAACTTTACTCTAGAAACCTTGTACAAGCATTTGTATAGTTTATATGTAAAACTCATAAGCTTCAATTGATCTCTTGTTATGTATGGATTAATTATCTTTGGCCTCGACTGTATGCGAGTTGGGATGTATGAATGTGGTGTGAAATCAGATTCTCCTATGTGTGTGGATATCAGTGGTTGAGATCAAGTAATAGAGTTCGAGTTAGTCGGAGTATCGAAGGACTATGCAGTCCTCAGTTTCTAGTATATTTCAAGTGGGGGAGAGTGAAACCTCTTAGCAGGAAGACTTTGTGCCAATATTCGGTTCCAGCCAGATTTCTCTAAGTTCCAGATTTCTGTGCAACTGTCAAATCTTCTGGTTTCGCGGCAAGCTCATCGTCAGTTGTTGGACTTTCCCTTCGATTTGTATTAGTCTTGGTTGTGATGGAATTTGTAGGGCGTGTTTGTGCTTAGACCCTAAGGTGTTGGGGGATCAGGTTGAGGGTTTGCCTGTCTGTTATTGCCTGATTCGAGGGTGAGCCCCAATGTTGATAGTGGATAGCTTAGCTGGACTGTCGAAGCCAAACAGGAGTTGTAACATCCCAAAATTCAAGACCAAAAATTTCATTTTTAATTAAGTTATTATAAAACCAATAGTATAAAAACATCAATAGTGTCACCCCATATCAAAACCAGTATGTCAATAATCAAAACATGTCATAATGAAACAATATCATAGTATAATCCCAAAGATCTCATGTGCGGAAAACATAGTGTGATGCGCTGCGATCATGCCGACTCCTTTCCTTTTGAAGAAGAATTACCTAAAACCAAAACTGAAAACCGTAAGCATGAAGCTTAGTGAGTTCCCCCATCATACCACATACCATACAATAAACATATTGTCTAGCATATCCGGGTGTTGGCCTACCCCTTCGGTCTCTTTCAACCGGTAACTGCCTAGCATATCAGGGTGTTGGACTATCCCTTCGGTCTCTTTCAACCGGTAACTGCCTAGCATATCTGGGTGCTGGCCTACCCCTTCAGTCTTTTTCAACCGGTAACTGGGGACTATTTCACCCCTACCACTACCACATAATACCCTAGCATATACACATAAATAACATACTGCCTAACATATTTGAGTGATGGCCTACCCCTTCGGTCTCTTTCAACCGGTAACCGGGGGCTATTTCACCCCTACCACTACCACATAAATACATAGCATGACATAGCATACTATCACATAAGCATAATAGATAGTGGCATACCAGACAATTATCATACAGACAATCATCTACCTATAAACAAGTACTAGTGGGCCGACATTGGTGCCTTCGACCCACTTCTACCGGGATGGTAACTCACCTCACACTGCTGAAGTCCCGCGGACAAAACTCTAGTTGTTGGATGACATATTCTCGAACTGTCAACATCAAAATAACACCCAATTAGTAATTAGGTTCCAACACATAACCATAAGTCCATGCTTGGGGTAAAATACTACTTTACCCCCAACTTAGCTTGATTCAAGCTCAAGGCCCAATCCAAAGGCCCAAAAGTCAAACAATGAAC